ACTGTTATGTATTAACAAAACCCTTTGGTTCAGGGTGCTAGATCAAAGGACCCTGGGTAGGGACCTTCGCAGGGGTCGGGACCCTGTGGATCGCTGCACGAGAGCGTATATGTGTTGCGCCACTGTTGACCCAATACGTCATTATATTTTATATTTCTTCAAAATGATGCGGGTATATTATAAAATAATTTGCATAATGAAAATGACACATTTAACCATTTATGAAGCTAATTTTCCAAACAAACAGCATACTTTGTGTGATGAAAAGATTTAGTGATATTGGACTACTATTCCTATTACTAACTGACCTATACATTTAATTATTTCATGATAATGAGTGGCGCCAGATCTCTGGCATGTACAAGAGAATAGAGAAAACAGAGACTCGGTTACAACCATGGACTCTCCAACAACTCCACAACCTACTACAGTAGAACCCCTCCTTTGGGACACCCCTATTCAGGGACATTCCTATTAAGGGGACACTTTTCCGTGAAACGATGGGAAATATATCTTTTAACGCTATGGTCGACCCCTATTAAGGGGACACCTCTATTAAGGGGACGGGACACTTTCCCGTGTGGCAAAAGGTCAAATAACCCCTATTAAGGGGACACTTTAATTTTTTTTTTTATCATTGTGTCACTTGAACTACAGCAGTCTCAGTAAGAAAAATTCATTCAACTTCATATTTCAACGCCTTTTGAGCAATAAACCAAAATTTTCTCCACTAAATCCTTCAACGTCGGTGTAGGCCTACTGAATACTGTATAAGCCAATCTTGTCAATTTTAACTTTTACAAAACATGTTTTGTACAGACAAACATGGTATTATCTTTACAAAACATGTTTTGTACAGACAAATATGGTTATGTTTTTTATAAAACGTGTTTTGCACAAACAAACATGGTTCAGTATATCACAAAACATTTGTCTATTACAAAATATGTTTTGTACAGACAAACATGGTTTTGTCTTTTACAAACAAATTTTTGTATAGACAAAAAAGTTTTGTCTTTTACTGAAAACATTTTTTGTTCTTCTACTCGTGTCTCATAGGCCTATTTATATATCCCCAGTGAAGGAAATCTTTTGAAATACATGTCACATCAAAAAGCTTGCCAACTCGGCCCTTCGCCAACTCGGACCATCGACTCGGCCCTAGCTCTGCACAGTCGGCTCTTAACCAGCTTGGCCTACATAACCGATTCGGCCCACACCTACTGGGCACTTGTCAACTCGGGCCGAGTCGGTATGGTCCAAGGCTGTGGTGGGAGTATACTATTGGTAACATAGTACAGGCCCTGCATACTGCTATGGATCTTATAAGTTCCGTCAGTATTTAATAAAATATTTTCATAAACATTAGGTATCAATGTCTGATGGTTGAAAAACAGGCTTATCAGTTATAACGATTAATCAGCTTTCGGCACTCATACTTGATAACTGGACACCCCTTTTCTTCGTATGGTACCACCGAAAATCCAAGTTTCCTATAAAGATTCAGGGCTCGTTGAAGACATTCAGAACATTCAAGCTTAACCTCTTTATATCTGGCTTCCTGGCAAAATTTAAGAGCATGATCCACAAGCTTAATTCCCAAGCCGTGTGACTGAAATTCCCTTTTCACAACTAAACGTTTAAGTTCTGCTATCTCTTTATCATCTGTTTCAAGGATAGCTACAGTTCCAACAATTAATCCATCAACACTTTTAGCAACCCAGTAATTAGAGCGATCACCGGCGTAATACTTGCCAATATCCAAAATATCTTGTTGTTTACTGACATATGCTGATACCTCGCGGTGAAGATAAACGAAAAACACATACAGACTGATACATAATGAAATTAATGTTAGTGTTACAGAGGCGCTTAAGCCGTAGACCACAATTACAATTGCGAGAAACACTACCTGGTACCTAAGTTTTCTGATGCAACGCAGGAAGAAGTTGGGTTTATGTTCTTCTAAGAAGACATGTTTAAACAGGTTAGCACAGGCTAGGAAATCTTTATTTTCTGCAGATGTTATTGTGACACCCATCGTATTTCTACGCTCATCCATGGGTGCAGGTCAACTCGGCCACAAGTCAACTCGGCCACAAGCCAACTCGGCCACAAATCAACTCGGCCACAAAACTTTCGGCTGCAGTCAACTCGGCCACAAGTCAACTCGGCCACAAGTCAACTCGGCCACAAGTTAACTCGGCCACAAGTCAACTCGGCCACAAGTTATTTATAATTAAAATGAAATGTAAATACGGTATTACAGTTTCTGCATCCTTTTTCTTCAATATGATTAAAATGAAGTACACAGTATATTTTAGTAAAATTCTGATTATCGTCACATCGTCGTGAGATCGTTGTATACATTTCTTCACACTGTAATCTTATTCAACAGAG